CAGACACAAACGCGAGAAAGAAAGTTAGGGAGAGTTTTCATTAAATTTCTCAGATTCCAAAACTTTAAAAGTTTGTAAAGCGGAATCACAACATTTTCCATTAATTAGAAAGCTTTTTAATTACTTTTTTTCTGTATTCATACCTGACACAAAATTTCTCATGTTCTTCCTAATTCATATATTTAATTCAGAAAAGTAGAAATGAGTGAAAATTCTGAAAAAAAAATTGTATTGATGAAAAAAAGACACAAATGGTTAACTTTTGAACTTGGTCTGGGGAAAGTTGCTTGAAAGTTGGATTTTTTAATTGAAAAAATTTGAATAGGACGTCAAACAGTTATGGAGTTTGGTCCAATGAACAGCACCAGACTAAGTACCAGTTGCTCGCGGAAGCCTCTTCACATTCGCCCACCACGATCTTAATTGAAGTAAAACTTTGAGGCGCGAGCTGCTGTGTAATAGCTCGCTTATTACATGCATTCAGCATCTCATATAGAGAGGCAGAGAGAGCAGCAGATACAAAACAAAGTTGGTTGAATGAGTGACAAAAGTTTAATGGCGCTCTGCTTCGGGAGAGAGACCGACTCCCTCTGATAAATCGAGTTGCCGGTTGGGCTTATTACACACTCGTTCGCTCCACTGCGAAAGAGAAAATGGCATTGATATTTAATTGGAGGAATTTCAATGGCGTAATTCAGCATTTGAGTTGATGCGATGCACTGAAAGTCTCACGACTACCTATAAATTAGTTGGTGAATTTCATTAAAAGTTGCGTAAAAATTCGACAGAAAATTGAGAAGCTCAGTTAACTTGCAACGAACATTATTTGTGAAAAGGAAGGTAATAATTTATTCAGATTGATTTTTTACCACTGAATTGTAATATTGGCTGATCAAATTTTGTATCAGTGATTACTAACAAAAGTCACCTATATTATGCAATATTAATTGAATATATATCAAAAAATGGATATACCCACTTCTGATAAAGGATGAAACAATTTATTTATTTATGTATTCTTGGTATAATTTCTGAATATAGAATTTATTGTATACACTATTCGTATAGTAGCATTGAGATATATCTGATATGCAATATACATATTAGAAGGGTGTTCCATATATTATATAATTTCATTTTACATAGGAAAATATAAATTGTATTTTAATTTATCCAATAAATGCTTCTGGCATTAACAAAATGTTTTTGCTAAAAAATTTTATATAAAAATTAATTAATTATTATAATCTAAAAATAATCAAAATCAGCACGTAGTAAATTAATCATAAATAAAAAAATTAAAAGTTTTATTATTTTTTTATAACTATGTATTTATGTTATTTATTTTTTTAAACATTTAAAAATTCTTCTTTCTCTTAAAATGAAGCTTGCCGAGAAATTTTACAGCCACTCAGCATCAACAGGGACCATATTGTGTTTGCACACTATCACCTTCATATCGGACGGATCATAATTAACTGCAAAGCGGCGCACGCGTTTGCAATGCATCGTAAAGTGCGCTTATCGCCGCCCAAACGTTCTCCATCTTTATGATTGCTAATTTTGTTTTACGGCCCGCACGGGGGTGGGGCTGGCGCGAACAACAAAACTCGTGCGCGCGAAATTAACTGGCACGTGCTCATTATAAATTGCGTCATTATTATCGTATAAGTACTTCATGTATGCACACTGCATACTTTTCACTTTCATTGTCTTCTCTGGTGGCGGGCGATAAAATTTTACGCGCGCACGAACCAACCCCCTTATTATTATTGCAATGCAGCGTATCACGTTTTATTATCTTTACCCTGATCTCGTAAAACTCGGGAAAAACATTTCGCCGCTTTCTTCCGCCGGAATTGATTTCCTCGGCAATTAGTCTTTGTTTGAGGGGCGGATAATAATAAAAATAAACCTACTCGGATGATTGGGGAGCGGCTGAATACGTGATTTGCCTCAGCAAAATAAATCCACCATAACCGCGGCGGCTATAAATTTCTACTGCAAATAGCCCCAAAAAAGTGATTATTTCTTTACGCAGAAAAAGAGAAAATTTCAAAGAAATTGACAATCCAAAGAAATGTACATTAGAAAATTTGCATTTTTGATTACAAATTTTACCTTATACAAGTTATATCGTCAATTAATTTATTCTATATTATTATTATTTTTAAACAAACGATTCAATATCCGGCTTATTATTTTTTTTTTCAAAAGCTTTGTAGGCAGCATTAAAATTTAGAATTGACGATTTTGTACTCTTACGAGGTCAAGCCAATTTTCTCTACAATTGTTATGATTTTTCCAAAAACAATTTATTTGGAATTAATAAAGGAATTCGATTACCGTCTTTTAGGAGGTCAACAAATCACCAGAAGTGGACACTGGAGATTTTCACCCGAAGCAGAATAGATAAGCAGATGAGCTCGGCGGGGAGTATTTATCTTTCTCCAAGGAATCTTTACAAGAGAGTGCAGGAAACACAACTAGGGGCTATTTTTATAAGCGTAATGCAGATGGAATAATAAACAGCTCAGGAGGGCCGGAAAAAGAATGGCTATTACAGCTCTGCTCCTCCGGCCGTGGATTACGAGCTGCTGCTGCTGCAATATTACTTCTCCACGTCTCGGCGTTTTTTGCACCTTACACCTAATCTCGTTGTCGTCTACAAATGTGAGCACAAACTTTTCTTATTCGCAAAATCTCTCCTTTGTAATAAAATTACGATGATTCAAAAAGAAAATGTAGCCCGTGCAGCATTGAAGAGAGAAGAAGATGCTAAAAGAGATATTTTAATTAATTAGTTTTTTCTTTACATATAATATGAAAATTCAGATCTCTGAAAATTTGCAGTTTTGAACAGTTTCCAATTTTTGGAAATTTTTCATTTTCAAGTGTCACTTCCTTCTTTTCAAATTTAAATTCAAGTGCCCGCAAGTTTTAAAATAATTTCTTGCAGGGGGAATTTTACACACCAAGTGAGATCTGATGACCCGACGTGTGAGAGGTCACCGGCTTCAGTTGACATTTGTTGGAATTGCGACGCGCTGCAGCGTTTTTCATTTATTTATTTTTGCGCGGACTCTCTGGGCGGCGTTTACAGATTACTGATGCTTATCGCACACTCGACACCTCGCCGTGAATGGAGGTTGTCCTGCATGTGTATGTTTACGCGGCGCAAGTGTGTATTTATGTACCGAGCAATCTCGGGCCACGCGCATTTGAGCTGCTCAAACATCAGAGTGTATCAGAACGAAGGACGGCCGAGGGCAAACACAAGAACTGGAGCGCACTCGTGACGGGATTGAGTGCGTCTGAGAGCGCTTTATGCAAATATATGGGTCAAGACACGCGCCCCAGCCCCGGCTCTCGTCCCTTTCGACTTATCCATATTCAAAATTTCCAACTCTAAACTCGTCTACAAACTTAACAAACTTGTTTGTATGCTAATCGATTCCGACAGCAGGACACACTGAATTATTAAATTATTCTTATTCGTTGTTTTTAGTTTGGAGTGACAAATAATGTAATTGCTAAATATTTTATTATTGAATCTTAACTTTACTTCATAATAAGCAATAATAAGCTCTTTCTTATACAATTCACGATTTTTTAGGAAAATCTATTTGAAATTGGAGATATAATGCGACTTATCGTAATAAAAGGTAAAATTTTAGGTCATTATGACGTAAAATTTATTAAGGTTTTGAAAAAAATGACATAGAGCTTCAATAAATGCTTATTCTTCTTACTCCTCAGATAATTTGAAAAGTTACTGTTATCAAAAATGATAAATTGAGTTTTCCAGTTCCTGTTATAATTAAATTCCTTGTATACAAAATATTCGGAATATTGTTAAGGAGTTTCCAGAAAATCAACATCGATTTTGAGTTTCTGCAATGTATTGGCAAAATACCAAACAAAGCATGTAAACGATTTTCATCAGACGGCGTTTGTAACACGTCTTGCGGTGGCGGAGAGACGTGTATGCAAGCCCGCCTGTCACCCATGCCGAGCAGGTTGCATATCGGCTCGGAGCGTCGGTTCGATCCATCGGAAATTCCTTCGTCGGCCGACGTTTAATTACAAGCGAGCGTGTTTGCAACATTCTTGCCTGCATAATTATAGTTAACCGATAGCAGGCGTGATGGAGTGCCGCGTTCGCATCGTCGTGAGCGCAGTGACGAGGCTTTTCTCCCACGACGGACATCTTGCAACTCCTTTTTTACTTTTTTTCGTCCTGCGGTGCTCGAGGTAAAAGCTTTCGGCTCTTGAATTCCGTGCGACGAATTATACTACGACAGACACTCTCTCGGCGGCGAGTGCACGTTTTAATAAAATGGATGATGAAGTTGAGCTAAATTTCTGCGAACGGAGGTGCCGCAGCGTCTAATGCATCCCACCCCTTCCACCACGGTAGAGTGCTCTTTATTCTCGACGGAGTGAGAATATTTATTTTTTTGGAAAATTATCTTTTCCTGGTGCGGTAATGCGATTACAACAAAAGGAAATACTATGGAATTTGTCGGGAAATTCTGTGAAATTCTACGCTGAATTAATTCAACATTTTTCTGAATAGTATTAAGTATTAAGTGGCAATTTTACAACCGTCGTTATTTCAGTAAAACGCAACCATTAAAATATGAATATTTAAACCAACTTTTTGAGCTTTGAATTTATTTACTCCCTTTCTAAAATTCCTGCATTCATTAATCATTTTTTATACACTGTTGATGAGAAAAATTCAATAGCTATAGAAAGTGCTAAAAAAGGAAATGTTTCATAGCTCAATTTTACCATTTAAACTTAAAAATAACGACTATTTGAGTCTGACTTTTTTTAGTTTAAATTTTTATTCAAAGGAGGAAGCTAAGTTCTAATATTGGCAAATGAATTACTAAAAATTTTTAATTTATTTGCATTGCAGTTTGCGTACTACTCAAATCTAAAACTTTTGGGTCAATGAAGTCAGGCTACTTTTCAAAATTATAGGCACTTACATGGCTCCGACGTAGAGGGCGTCGCGTTTCTCATCCAGATAGAACGTCCGGTAGTACATCTTTCCGCAGCTGAACTCGCGCACGTGATCTGCAACACCAAAATACAATTTAGCACAAACACGGCCAATAATCCAATAAATAATGAGGCACTGCGACACTACTCGAGGTGTCGAAAGAACCCAAACACACCACTACTTCTTGGTAATGGAATTCCGACTAAAGGGGGACACCGGCCTGTTTGTATGCAACTTGTTTCACAACGGACATGAATATTTGATGCCGCTGCAGAATCAATTTTCCCTAACAGGTATACCGAACAAACTCTTGCGACCGACAAACGGGCGGGGATTCCGGCTTGGCGTTTCCCATTTTCTGCAAACCGAATTCCGTGTTGCCGAGCGACACCGAGAGATACGATACGGGCGGGGAATTTTTCGTGCGTGGATATAAGTATGCAACCGGTTGGGCCCGTCTTGAGCAAACACAATCTCCTTGAGACGATTTCAGAGCTCGCAGCGGATGCAAAACATGGGCGTGTTTGTGTCTATATGCACGGCGAGAGAGGATGGAAAATGCGAGGACAGGTTTGAAATCTCGTAAAAATCAGTGTTCGAAGGTTGCGTAGGGAATTCGCAGCTAACGCTTTAAGGTTGGAAATATTGTTAGACGAAAGACGCAAAGAAAAAAAAAGAGGTAACATTAAATAACATAAATTTTTATAATGATCATTCCGTCATTTATACAAGATCAATCATGATATAATTTTTTCTCTAGATTTCATAAGTAGCGAAATATTGATAGAATATTTTGGATTCATTTTTATTTAATTTTTGTGTACAATAAGTTGTCAACCACTCACTAAACTTAAGTAAATTTTAACTTGAATTTGAAAAAAAAAATATTAATATTACTACAAAAATGAAACTGTTTTACAAAATTAACAAATTTATTTCAGTGTGCAAGAAAATCTTCAGATTTTTAATAATTATTTTCAATATTTGTATTGTATTTATCACATTAAAGTTTTTTAATGATGGCATTACATTAATTTAATGCCAGACTAGAGAAACATCCCAAACAATGAGGGATTATGGCGTTAGATTTTTTTTTCTCACAGACCGGGAAAATCGCTGTCTCGCACACTTATGAATGTTTCATGAAATCCAAACACAGCCCAGAGATATTTGCGCTCCGAATATATCCGCATTATTTATGCATTCGCACGCAAAATTTCCAATTCGGGATTCAATCCAGCGAAGAGCAAACACAGTGCCTCATTACAGATCAAAAGAGCGCCAGATTTGTCCCGACTGCATATATTTGTGCAGGTTTTGCTCATATGCAGAAGCAATTAACGCGAGAAAGAGAGACACGGCGATAATTCCTGTGCGAAGTTGAAACAATATTTGCACTTTTGTGTGTCTGTCTGCACAGTGCACATGCACTCAACTTTCATCTCTGTGTGTGCTTTCTCGCAAAGCCGCGGCACGTGTTTTTCTCTCGCTCGGTGCGCGCAGGAGGAATTAACAAAACTTCAAAGAGCAAATTTATTATTCTTAGCAGCTGCTCTCGTTTTCACCGCGGCTAAATTTATCGCCTAAACAGCTGGAGGTGCGAGCGAACAATTGGATTTAATGCTCTTAATCGGCGTGGAAAACAAGTTGGATTGCGCTGCTGCCTTATTTTTTCCTCACGGCCGACTCCCATAAATTGTTCCCACATTGGGTTTTGGAAGTAAATCACTCGGAGGCACACAGAGAAAATTCAACCAGAGGTGCCCTTGTTTGTTGGCTGGTGAAAATTATTTGTGCTCTTTGGGTCACATAAATTATTATATTCTTGAAATTTTTACGCCAATGCAAAATTTTGAATTGACGACTGGATACTTAATATCAGATAATGTGATGTAATTTTCCATTACAATAAGAAATTAACTTCAATTAAAAATAAAAAAAATCAATTCATAAAGTAAAAAGAAAAGATTTTGATTTGACAGGGGTTTTATTGTTTTAGGCTGATAAATTTTAACAACGTGTCATTCATATCCAATTTCTGCTGGATCACTTGGTACAATAGAAGCCAATATATATGAGAATATTTTACACCCATCCTTTTTTCTGCTAACCCTTTGAGAGGGAGAGATCCGTCTCAGCTATTTTGATTTCCTTTCATCCTGGGCCGGGGAGCTATCTATATGTAGTTGTTATAGGCCCTTTTCCACGGGATGAACTACTATAGGCGGCATTCAAAACGATAAGTCATTACACTATACTCCTTTCGCTGACAAAGCATCTTGCATGGCCGCCAATCCGGCCTTTTATTCGGCGCGCTGCCATTGTTGGCCAGCACATAAAAGGAGTCTCCTCATCACCTTGCTGGCTTTTTCTCCTTTGGCCGGCGCGCGAAGAAAGGAGGAAGAAGCGGCAGCTAATTGCTTTAACACGCAACGCTGCAGTCCATGCAGCACCCGCCGCCGCCGCCGCTAGATTTATTGCTGTCATTCCGCGCCGTAATGGCCATTAATTTGTCATATTTTATCGCGCCGCCGCTCGAAATAATACCAAGATAGCAGCGCCAAGGATTGACCTGTTATTCCGTGATTAATGCCGGCCAGATTGACTACGATATCACGTGCATGAGTGCTCATGGGCCGAATTCATCCGAGTTTTACAAAATAAGAAACTAGATTGCTTGAAAATAAAATTTAATTCAGTGCCAAAAGGCTGGGATCAAAGCATTTAAAATTTTATCACCTATATTTCAACTTATTTCAATTATTTCTTTGGTTATCTGATCGGACTGCTGTGCAAGGTAAAAAAGCACGAAATGTTGAGGCCATTAGTGAGGAATTAATGCATATGACTGTAATCGCAAGAGATTTGAATTTGATCCATCAAGAGTTCATGTTTTCATTGTGTCAGTACAAAAAATGAGTAAATTTAGGTTAAACATTAGAAAAAAATTCATGTATACAATCACATTTAATTTTTTAAATGCCGTAGTTTATAAAAATTAAACAAAAAATAGCTTAAAATCGGCCTTGGGCAAAAAATATAATTGTATTTGAAAAATTTATATTTCAAAGGATTAACTATTTTTATTTGAATTACAGTAAAGAATATTCCAAATATGTTGAAAAAAAAACCTAAAAATAACTTGAACAGTTAAAAATATGCATCAATGTAACCTTCAATTAACGTATTTTCAACAAAAAGTCCCACTCCTTAATTTTGCCCCGCAATCGGTGTTTTTATTGATTACACATACTAAAAGTATAGAACCAGGTTAAAAAATCTGTGGAATATCTTTGAAAAGCTTGTGTCTTTGATACAAAACGCCTTCACCAATTTGCGAACGAAAGTAATCTAGTGTCCAAATCAACAAACAACACTTTACGCACCCACCTATCTAGCTAAGAGAGAGAACAAGGAAAAGTCGGCAAGGCGTCACCAAATTCTTAGAATCTCAGAGGGCCAAAATGAGACATCACTTCGAAATCCAATTACGGCACAGTCAACAACTGCAATTACAAAGCCTAATTGGGAATGGAAGGAAAAAGGCTCTCGTCTCAAAGAATAAATTTGCATTAATCAGCACACGTGTGTATTAATAGTTAAACAATAAATTCGATAATGCTGGAAATAAATTTATCTTGGGGTGCGAACGCCGACGAAATGCAATAAATCTCGCGGGGCCAATTAAAAAATTCATTCAACGGCCGAAAAACGCGTCAGCGGGAATTAAAAAAAGGCGAGTGGAGTAATTTATGGCTATTTATGCGCGACCTTTCTTTCCACGGTGCCATGAATCATTCCACAATGACACTAACAAGCTGAAACAACGGCAACAAACAACCAGACGCTCACCAATTCTCGCGCATCCCTGATAGGCGTCGGCTGTTATTAAATATAACATTAGAGCCAGAATAATAATAATAATAATAATAATAATACGAACTAGAAACGGCCAAGCGAAGAGGACAGAGAGGATGCGACCAATCTTATTGTGTGAAACGATGTCTGAGGTAGTTTAAAAATAATTATCAAAGCGTCGAGTGAGTTCCAACTCTGGGGATTTAAAACTATTGTTTTTTTTTCGAGGAAAAGTGATTTTGACTTTATATGATGAAGTTTAAACCTACATAAAAGTTTAGAAATATACACATTTTGTCTACTAATTATTAATTCCTTGAAATAATTATATCCTTTGATTTAAGAATTAAATATCTTGAGACTCACATGAACTTTTTAATTTTATTAAAATTATTTTGCAATAATTTTAATTTTTAAATAATTAAATTACATTTATTTATTATATTTATAGCAAAGACCGATTTATAATGAAACTCTATTTAATCTTTCACTTTATAGGTTAAGATTATAAGACAATTTTTATTAAATTATATTATTTTCTTGTCAGGACAAAACAATCATTCCTAACAGCTTAAGCAAGCCCTTTCACAATGGTAAAATTCACTCATTTATCTTGGAGTTGTTTTTAACTTCTTTGTCATTAATGTATATTATTAATCATTAAAACTTCACCTCGGAATGAATTATTACCTTGAGGTTTGATGCACCAATTGTCATGACAATCTAATAATTGAATGCATTAAGAATTCACATTGATGCATTGAATTTTAAATATATAACAAATCATCAAAGATTTTAGGGAGAATTGAACTCGCCGGAGCAGCAAAGTAGGACCTTGAAGGACAAATGATGCGTCAGTGCAGTGGCGTTAAAAGTTTCGAGCGGGTCAGGCGCGTGCGAAGGAAATAATTTGGCGGTGAACACGCCGCACAACAGCAATAATTCCACGCAACCGACGCCGGTCAGCCACCGCACTTTGCAGGCTGAGAATTTTGCAATTCGTCCGTCTCTCTGTGAAATTTTAATGGTGTCGGGAAATATTAATGGAAACACCGCATAGCCAACACCAGATGCGTGGTACCGGTCTGTTCCGCCGTGGATTTGCGTGCGGTTAATTGCAATAATAATAATAGTAATGCGCGCCGTGGTATTCGGTCGGGGTGCCTTATAGGAAGAGGGTGTGTTTGGGGAACATTATACTGGGAAAAAAGAAGCA